CTCTGCCCCCTTTCCGTCCCTTCCCTTCTGTCTGTCTCTGTGCTGTGGTCCCTTCCCTTCTGTCTGTCTCTGTGCTGTGGGTGTCTCTGATCCTCACTCCTTCAAAGGACCCTGTTCCCCACACTGAGAACCGCGTCTGTCCTTGGGTCCCAAGTTCCCCCCGCTCGGAGCTGCTCTTGCTGTGGTGAATCTGTGTCCCCTGAAAGAGGCGCCCGTTCTCTAAGAAAAGCTGGGGGCAGCGCCGACCCTGCCGAGAGCGTCCAACCTTCCCCGGAGGGCCAGGGCCGGGTGCGCATGAGCCCGGACCAGGCAGGGGTCGCCTGGGCCCCGGATCCCGACCCCAGCCTGGGTACTGGGAGAGGCACAGGCACAGGCCCCGCCAGCTCCTGCCTCGCCATCGAGTCCGGGCCTCGGCAGTAACACGCACAAGCGCGCGCACGCTCAAGCGGGTGGAGTGGAAAGAGGATTGTGAGCTGGGCGCAGAGGGGCCGAAGGTCACAAGTGGTGCGGGACCTCACTAGACGCTTGGTGGGGCCTACTCTAGAAATAAAATATACAAAAGTGCTGAGTTCAATTCCTAGTACTGAGAAAATAAATAAAAAGAATTTTGGAGTCAGAATGACTCCTGGATCCCTCCTTCAGCAGCTGAGTTTATCTTTCTGAAAGCCAGAACAGTAAAACCATGGGTCCTTTGTTTTGCTTAGTGAGATGAGGTCTTGCTGTGTTGCCCAGGCTGGTCTTACACTCCTATGCTCAGGTGATCCTCTTGCCTCAGCCTCCAGTACGCTGGGATCACAAGGGTGTATACTACACTATGCTCCAAAACTTTTTTTTTTTTGTCATACCAGGGATCGAACTCGGGTCCTTGTGCTTTCGAGGCAGGCCATCAAACCGCTGAGCTAAATCCCTGGCCCTAAAACTTTTTTTTTAAAAACAAAATCTCACTATGTAGCCCAGGCTGGTCTTGAACTCACAGTGATCCTTCTGCCTCAGCCTCCCAAGTACTGGGATTACAGGTGTGTGCCACCACCCCTGGCTCAAAAATTATCTTTAAGGTTGTAATTAGATTTACTTAATGTATACCCAGATAGTTCCAGCTGCTTTGAAGGCTGAGATAGAAAGATCACTTGGGCCTAGGAATCTGAGGTGAGCCTAGGAAATATAGTGAGATATTGTGTCAGGAAAAAATAAAACAGATTAAGATTCCTGGTCCAAACTGGGCGTGATGGTACATGCCTGTAACCTCAGCACCAGGGAAGCTGAGGCAGGAGGGTGGCCTCAAGTTCAAGCCTGGGGTACATCATGAGGGCAAGGCCAGCCTGAACTATGCGGGAGACCTTGTCTCAAAAAACAAAGCAAAACAGAAAGATGCCTGACTAGAGGCCAGCACACCAGACAATTGTGGTTTTTTGTTTTGTTTTTCTCCTTTTCCTTCCCTTCCTTTGTAACACTTTGCCTCTCTTACACTTCTTCTTTCCTCCCCACCTTCCCCTGCTTAGCCTTATTTGTCCCTTCTTTTGTTTTTCCTGAGTGTAATTTCGCCTCCTATTTGCCTTCCTGCTCCGATTCCGCTCTCCCTTCATTTCACTTGCTAAGTCTTCCCCTTACTTCCTTTGGTCCTGTTAGGGTTGTTTTTCTTTCTCCAGTGTCCAGAGACCAGGCCCAGGACTCAGCAGACTAGACCAGGGGCTGCGGGCTGACCATCCTCCAGCCAAGCCTGGCTCCAGAATTTATTTTCTTTGGCTACTGTGATGCTTATGTTTTTCAAATTCAGATGTCCTTAAATGGGACCTGGGCTCTCCAGTTTGCCAGAGTTGTTAATACTTTCTGTTGTATTTTTCTCTATGTCTTTGTCATATGATTTTTTAAAATGAGAGCTGGGCCTGGTGGTGCACACCTGTAATCCCAGCACTTGAGAGGCTGAGGCGGGAGGATTACTCCAATTTCAAGGCCAGCCTGGGCTACATAGTGAGTTCAAGGCCAGCCTGAATTATACTGAATAAACCATCCACCCATCTTAAGACGGAGAGCATCGCTAATGTCTACCTTTGCTCCTTGTGTGATCTCTCCTTTCCTTATTATTCCCTTGCCTTCCCACAAAAGGTAACCAATATCTTGAAATTTGTTTATTACTAATTTATCTTCTTTTTTTTTTCTGATGCTGGGATCAAAACCAGATCTTCACACACACTAGTCAAGTACTTTATCACCAGCCCTTAAAAATTGCTTTAACACACTAGGGGTGGTGTTGCACACAGCTAGTTGGGAGGCTGAGGCAGGCAAGTTTGAAGCAGTTTATCGAGATGTTGTCTTAAAATAAAAAATAAAAGGATGGGCCAGGGATTTAGCCCAGTGGTTCCACCGCTTGCCTCGTAAAGCACAAGGACCCGAGTTCAATCCCCGGTACCAAAAAAACAAAAAAAACAAAATAAATAAAATAAAAATAAAAGAGAATGTAGCTCAGTGGTGGAGTGACCCTGAGTTCAGTCCTCAGTATCAGAAAAAAATTGTTTTAGCATACATATATGCCTTGTTAATGTCTTTTTTGTCTTTTTTTTCTTGGGTTTTTTTGGTACTGAGGATCAAGCTCAGGACCTTGCGCACCTAAGGCAGACGCAGCACCACTGAGCTGCATCCCGGCCCTTTTGTTTGAGTTTTAAAGCAAAGGTATCATATTGTATTCAATTTTATTTTTTATTTATTTACTTTTTATTAAGTTTATTGGTACATTTAGGTATACAATAGTTACATTCATCACTGGGATCTTGTACATTTACATGATGTATCTTGGTTGTATTCAATTTTATATAACTTGTATTTTCACTCAACATTGTTTTTCATTTTTATTTATGTTGCAAATATAATCTGTCATTTGAGTTGCATTCTTCTGGCATGGACATTTGGATAGCTCCCTTCTCTGTTATGGAGAACACCAGGAACAGTGTCCAACCTCTGGGCATATCTGCCGGCATCTCTTCAGGGTATAAACCTCCGAGGAGAGTTGCGCTGTCACAGAGCACGCAGGGCTGCATTGCACAAGATAACGACAAGCTGCTTTCTGCTCTCTTCTCAGCAGGATATGCGTTCCCTCTGATTTATGTCCTACTCAACATTTGGTGACATCAGACTTCTCCTCCTCTTCCTCCTCCTCTTCCTCCTCCTTCTTCCTCTTCTTTCTGTACCAGGAATTCGGACCCAGGACCTTCTCCCTGAGCTACAGCCCTTATCTGCAGCCCCCTCCTTTTTTTTTTTTTTTTTTTAATTTTGAGACAGCGTCTCACTAAATCACTAAGTTACCCAGCCTGAGCTTGAACTTGTGATCCTCCTGCCTCAGCCTCCAAGAATGTTGGGATTACAGGTATTTGCTACCACACCTGGCCACTATTGGTTTAATTAGAATTATAAATACACCTGAGCATGCTTGTATTTTCAGTGAAGTTTCTGTTCATGTTGTTAGCCCACTTTTCTAGCAGTTTTTTTTTTGCGGGGGAGCGTTTTCTTTATTGTCTTGAATATATTCTTTACATATTCTGAATACTAATCTTTTGTTGTTATATGTGTTGCAATGATTTTATCTCAGTTTGTGTTTTGTCTTTCCCCTCTCCTATCGTATCTTTAAATACATAGAATTTCTTAATTAAAAAATGGAGGTTACTGGGGCCAGAGATCTAGCTCAGTAGTGCCGTAATTGCAAGTGCGAGGTCTTGAGTTTAATCCTGAGTACCAAAAAAAAAAAAAAAAAAAAAAAAAAAAAATACACATAGGTCTTGTGGCTATGTTAGATTTATTTGTAGAAAAGATTTATGCTATTAAGTTGTTCTTTTATTTTCCCAGACCAAGTCTCATTTTGTAGTCTAGCCTGCCTAGTTTAAATTATTTTTGTGTTAGATTTAGATTGTACTTTTTTTGTCAAATGTTTAACTTTAGCCATACTGGTGTATCTTAGAAGTATTTAATTCTTTTTTTGTGGGGGGGTACCAGGGATTGAACTCGGGTCCTTGTACTTGCAAGGTAGGCCACCGAACCGCTGAGCTAAATCCCCGGCCCTTAACTCTTGTTTTAATTAGCATTTTCCCATTCACAAATTGTTATTTTATTTTTAATTTTTTTTATTTTTTTATTTTTTGGTACCAGGGATTGAACTTGGCTCCTTGCGCTTACGAGGCAGGTGCCAGAACCACTGAACTAAATCCCCGGCCCAATTATTATTTTATTTTTAAAAATTTATTTTCCCTGTTCAGAAATTATGTCAGGCACAATTTTCTGTTTTTGTTAACCTTCTGACTAGATTCTTTTGTGAAATTGAGTCTTATTTAATTTTTAAAATAGCTGTATTCCAGTACTCGGGAGACTGAGACAGGAGGATCTCTGTGAGTTGGAGACCAGCCTGAGCTACACAGTGAGTTCCAGGTCAGTCTCAACTACATAGTGAGATCCTGTCTCAAAAAACCAAAACAAGGGCCAGGGATTTAGCTTAGTGGTTCTGCCATCTACCTCACAAGCGCAAGGACCCGAGTTCGATCCCTGGTATCAAAAATTAATTAATTAATTAATTAAATGCAATAGCTGTATTGATTTGTATCTTTGTGCTCAATATGAGTCATTTGTGAGATACACATATTGCAAATATTTTCTCTCAGTCTGTCACATATTTTACTTTCTTAATAGGTCTCACTACGTGGTTGAGACTGACCTGGAACTCACTGTGTAGCCCAGGCTGATCTCAAACTCACAGCGATCCTCCTGCCTCAGCCTCCTGAGTGCTGGGATTATAGGTGTGCACCACCACACGCGGCTATTTATCAGTATTTTAATAGGGCTGTTTGGTCATATTTAAGAAATTTTGTCTACTCAAAGAACATCACCATTTTTCTCCAATGTTTTCTTCTAGCAGCATTGTTTAGTTTTTCATTTTCAGGTATGTGATTTATTACAATTTTTGTGTTTCATAAAGGTCAAGATTTTGTTTTGTTTTGTTTTCCCATATAAATACTAGTTGCTCCAGTATCATTTATTTTATTTTGGTATCAGGGATCAAACTCAGAACCTTGCACTTGCAGGGCAGGCGGTGGCACCACTGATGGTATCATTTATTTTAAAAACCTTACTTTTCTCAGTGAAAATTATTTGTGTGAGTCTATTTTTAGGCCCTTATTTACTTTCTTTTCTTCTTCCTTCCTTCCTTTTCTTCCTTCCTGTTTTGTTTTTTATTTTGGTGTTTTGAGACAGGGTCTCACTACATAGTTCAGGCCAGTCTTCAACTCACTATGGAGGCCAGGCCATCATGCCTGGCTTTTGTGATGTTTAAAAATCTACTATAGTTTGCCATTGTTTTGTTGGAGAATTTTGAACTCACGGCCCATAATTTTCTTTTGTGTCACTATCTACATGTGCAGTTGAGAATCAAGGATGTACTTGCC